TAGTAGCGTCCTTGCTCCTAGTAGCGATGCCAGGAGCCCCTAGTAGCTTCTTGCTCCTAATTTTTCAATACTTGCTTTCTAAAGTTGTTCCTTTTAACATTGGCTCGTGACGTCACTGTGAAGCAACTCACTGATTGATGGATGTCCTGAATCAGGCCATCTTCAAGAATGCCCTGCTGACGTCGTGCTCTCCCAAGGGGAAACACCCGACATTGCTGACGTCATTTTGGCTGATCCCATGCGGGTGGGGTGGCTGCCTAGGGATCCGCTGTGTCGAAGGTCGGACTTTACGGGAGTCAATGTGGAGAATGCGGACTTCACAGATGTTGGGCTGACAAGTTTATCAGGAGCAAGGACGCTACTAGGGGCTCTTGGCCTTACTACTAGGAGCAAGGAGCTACTAGGAGCAAAGTAGATGATCAAGACAAGAGTCAACAGGGAATGTTTGTCACAGTGTTCTGTGGTGTCCACAAAGCAAAACAGTTTGTGGCAGAGTCATGCCAGGCTTTCTTGGACATCCAAAGCGTCAAAATCCTATGCAACAATCCAACAATGAAAGGCATTTTGTGCGCGTGTCGTGGTTGCGTTGATTTGTTTGGTTGCTTAGTTGCATCTCCATTATATATCCGCAGTGTATGCATTTGATTTGTGAGTTGGGTCACATTGCTGCCGGCGTGGTGGCCCGCAGGCAAGAATCCTGTCACAGGAGCAGACACTTATCTTAGCGCCGGCTGTGATATTGCGGATGCTGGACAGTATAATCGATGATTTTGGTGCAAAGCATTCTTATTCGTTTCTAGTTTTCGTTCCATACGGGTTGCTCTGCATACCCAATTTTCAGAGGCACAGACTGCTAGAATGGCAGGCCTCCAGAACAGCTGCTAGATTGTTGCATTCAAACAGGTTCAGAGGAGCTTAACATCTAACAATAGTTACTCATGGTTGTTTGATTTGTGTTTTTGCATGCTTGCCCACAAAGGCACAAATAGACCAGACTGACTGCCCGCGTATAGTAGAAAAGAGGCACCGTGGCCGGGAATTTGGTTTGTGGGTTAGTGTTGAGGTTGCTGGTAGCTCACGTGTCTAATGTTCAACAGAGACCTATTCTGCGGAATGGCTACAAGCAATAAAGACTCCAGGGATATATAGTAAGTCTCTAGGAAAGGATACGTACATGCTCAGAGGAAAGAATCACGCGCACACTGCACACCCAGTACGTCGGATAAGCTCTAGGTTGTGGACGTGACTACCAGCAAGAAGCAAATTATATAGGCAAATTGAAATCTGTTGAAATATGGAATGCCATTTGACCAGAAATAATTGCCTTTTTTGCAGAGTACCCGTTCGACAATATTTTGGCTCAGGGTTGAATCAAAGCATTCACTACACTGTAGTAAGAGTGAAGGAGTAGAAACACACGTCAAACAAAAATCCTCTAAAATCTCAACCGAAGAGACGAGAGACCTCTGGAAATCTGTGCCGTTCTCCGTACCGCCGTCTTGACGTCATGGCTTCGGCAAAATACGATGGCTTTGGTGGAGGATCGAACAGTGGAAGCTACTAGGAACAAGAAGCAGCTAGGGGCTCCTGGCATCGCTACTAGGAGCAAGGACGCTACCAGGGTTTTCGTTCCTAGTGTCCATTCACTTATTTGACTTATTTGTGTCCGCCTTGTTCCAGGGGGCCATGCAGTACACCGGTACAGTTACAAACACATGGCATGTGACTGGCTTCAACCTAACAGCAATGGCCTCCAATCTAAGAGCGATGGCCTCCAACCTAATATTATGTAAGCACGTGCATGTGACAAGGAGTCATGTTGAACATATTGCTTCGATGTCAACCTGAGTGGGTCATCAAACAGCAAGCTTCACAAGCAAACAAAGGTGATATGAAATTATCATTGATAAATAAGGCAACTCAATTCCCTTCACATGCAGTTCCCACTGCCGCACTTTCTGATCGTCGCCTAACTTGAACCTCCAACTAAAGCTTTTCGCAACGTTCCAGGATGGGGAACAATGACTGGAGGTTGGACAACTTGGATGGGCGACTTGGGTGGACAACATACGTTGGTCACTTGGATCTCTGAGGCAATGCCGCAATGGGTACGATGCAGACAGCAGCTTTGCCGACTCAGGTTGGATGACAATCGAAATCACTATTTGTTGTTCTCTCTTGCAAGCATGCTTGTCCAAACGGGAGACCTACCGCTTGTCCAAACTGGTCTCAGGAGAGGCCAGGGACAGATACAGACTTTTGTACACTTCTTCAGGCAGTGGGAACTGCTGGGGGCACTGCCTTTCAGCGGCAGAACTTTGGAAACGCACCTCGCCTCAGCCCAGTTCTTGTACAGGATACTTGCAAAGACAATATGACTCATTTGTCAAGCGTTTCTTGATTTGGATGTTGACTTTGGAATCTGTTTGGATGGAAAGTGGAGAATCATATTAACTCTAAAGACCACATGTCGGAATGGTCAAAAGGGGATACTAGTCAAGAGTTGGGTGCTCGAGCACGATGGCCTGCTTGTGTCTCGGGATGTCTAGTGTGTCTCTGAGCACTCAGACCGCATCCATGGCCACCCAGAACATTGCAGATATGCAGCCTCGACCTCAGAGCTAGTGACATCAATCCAAATATGTAGAGGTGTAAGGCACAATAATGGCAAAGGATAGAGTGTTTGTTTTGTGACGAGCGAAGTCTTTTCAAGATGGTAGAGGAACAGAAGAAAATGTGATTAGTGGTTTTTTCAACGTGTTTTTTGTATTGGAAAGTCTAAACCTGAGACATCCTGAAACCTTTCATGCCTGTTAAACGTACTCAAACACATTGTGCCGTGGGCTCGTCGAGGTACAAGACGATGGCACCTGATGTCTTTGGCTCAGCGCATCTCACGATGCCACTTTTTTAGCTTCTTGTTACTAGTAGGGATGCCCTTTGCTCCTAGCTTCTTGTTCCTAGTAGTAAGGCCAGGAGCCCCTAGTAGCTTCTTGTTCCTAGTAGTAAGGCCAAGAGCCCCTAGTAGCTTCTTGTTCCTAGTAGTAGGGCCAGGAGCCCCTAGTAGCTTCTTTTCGACATGGCTTGGATGCTTGAGGTCATGAAGACACAGCCTGGCGGTGCGTATGCCAACAACTATGTTGCAGACTTAAATCTGGATTCTGCACCGAAGAGCATCCTCCGCGCTTTGCCCAGGATGCTATGGCAACAAGAGCTCCACCAACACAGACTGATGCGTACGGCTACCTGCTTTAAATGGATCACGCGTCGTCCAAGTTAAATTTGTTCTTCATTGGTAGCTTAGAAGCTATTGAAGCTAATTGTTTTTCAATGGAAGTTATATAATGGTTGGAGGCCATTGCTATGAAGTTGGAGGCCATCGCTACTCGACTGGAGGCCATCGTTACTATTGCTACTAGGGTGGGGGCCATCGCTATTTTGGTGGAGGCCATTGCCACTGGGATGGAGGCCATCGCTAGGGTGGAGACCATTGTATTAAGTTCCTTTTGCTAATGATGAATTTGACTGGGAGCGAAAAAGCTCCTAGTAGCGTCCCTGTTCCTAGTAGTAAGGCCAGGAGCCCCTAGTAGCGTCCGATCGCTCCGTTCGTAGCGATGCCCTTTGCTCCGTTCGTAGCTTCTTGTTCCGTTTGGATGGTTCAACTGCTTTCTGACCTGAGGTTATGGGGGATCGGGCTGTGGGGGTCGACCAAGCAGTGGCTATGGATGTGGGTCGTCGCGGAACATGGGAGGCTACGGAGGACAGAATGGCTACGCAGATGGCTATGGAGGATCAAACTATGGAACGGGCTATGGAGGCTCAGCTTATGGAGGTTCTGGGTGTGGCTACGGTTATGGCTATCCAACCAGCTATGCACAAGGGCAACAAGGCCAAGGCTGCCAAGGCCAAGGTTATGGAGGCTCGGCTTATGGCCAAAACTATGGCTATGGAGGATGCGGCCAATGTGGTCAAGGTCAGGGTGGCTATGGCTATGGATATGGAGGTGGTGGCACTGGCTATGGCGCTTATGGCTATGGCGGAAGCCAAGGACAGGACTTCCCGGAATAGTTCGTCTTGAGAGCTGTTTGCATGTGCAGGAGTAGCTCCCTATCAAGGTTACAGTGAGAGGGGCTATGGAGGTCCCATCCACGGTTTCATTAAAACCGCCAAATTTGGCTGATTCTTTGCTACTTGAGAGAGGGACACAGGGGCAATGCATCAGGTATGAATGAGATGGTGGCAACCCAGCAGTTGTCAGCGCAACAGGTTTACAGCCGAGAAGTCGAGAGCTCAATGTATTTGTCCGTCCAATTCCGCTACTAGCAACAAGTGCCACGCTAGTAGTAACAAGTGCATCGCTACTAGTAACAAGTGCATCGCTGGTGATCGCTTCTATTCCGAGAGTACTTGTATTTGGCAGACTTGACAATGACTGTATTCGTCATCTTGAGGTTCCTGGTTCCTTTGCAGCTCCTGGTCACGCACCCAGCGGCTACCTTGCAAACCACATGTGCAGAGTAAAGAGAGAAAAGTGCTCTTGTCTTTGTCAGTGGTGGAGGCTACAATGCCTACATGGCTGGATCAGGCTACCCTCCAGGCCAGTTGTTGCCAATAGTTGTAGAAGGTTTTGTTTGCTGATTCGCTTCATTCACTTCTTTGTCCAATGAGCTGGAGTCCGAAAGATGCTGTCTTGTCCATTCTCTACTAGCATGTTTTCTTGACAAAGCAATCATTCAATCGCAGCCTTGCCGCACAAAAAAAAGGTGATCAATTGGAATGTGAGAATTGTGAGATGCAGAGGCCATCCTGCAGCAGCTGCAGCACAAGGGCAAATGCCTGTGGGTCGAAACCTAGGATTTGGAAGGAGAGTGTTTTCTTGGCATGGAAGTTGTGGCAAGAAGCTACTAGGAACAAAGAGCATTGCTACTAGGAGCAAGGACGGTACTAGGGGCTCCTGGCCTTACTACTAGGAACAAGAAGCGACTAGGAACAAAGGGCATGGCAGACTGTGATTACCCAGTTGCCGCATGATGGAATCTGGTGAAACTGGTGAAACACTTTGATCTGTCACAGCTGCCACACTGTATGGCAGTTGTGCCTCCAAAAGGCTGCGGCTTGAGTGCAACTGGCTTTGGCTCTAGCTAAGAAGAGGAAGGACTCTAGAAAGAAAGCTTTTGCTTTACAAGAACGCTGTGCAAAAGGACTCAGGCCTTGAACTTAACTACCACACACACGAAGAGAGCCACATGCGATTTCTCAGGTCGGAAGCCTGGACGCACCCGCCGAAGCATTTGCTGCTGAAGAGTGTCCCTCGGAGGGTAGGAGCGATCGGACGCTACTAGGAGCAAAGGGCACCGCTACTAGGAACCAGGACGCTACCAGGGGCTCCTGGCCTTACTACTAGGAACAAGAAGCTATTGGAAACAAGAATTAGAAGTAAACTTAATCTAAATTTAATTAGAATTCAAGTAGAGATGGCATGACCGAAGAGATCAACTTCTGACTTCTTCCTTCCAAGGAGCGCCTCCAACCTAAGAGCGATGGCCTCCAACATCCTCCAACCTAGATATTGCTGAAGGTGAACAAAGAGAGGAAGAAAAGGAGGGTGTTTGGGTTCCTTTAGCGAGGTGCCCTTAATGCTTCAAAGGGGATCTTGTTGAAGGGGCTCGCGTCCACCTTATGTTCTTTTTTGATGATGATTTTCTTAAGAAAGACGTTTGTTTCAGATTGCCTTAAAAGATGGAAGGAGACTCTTTACTCAACCAGTTTTACTCCTGAGTGGACCACCCCCTCACAACATCATACGCCTCACCTTGCAGGTGGCCTGAAGACTCTTTCAGTGGCTTTTATGATTCATATCGTTGTATCACTCAGAAATGATTTGCATTGAGATTGCTTACTTCCAGTGCATAGGGATGCATAGGGCATATATGTGGACTTTGCCCAACATCCCAATGCCTGGATATCTCTTGCGTCTTTCACATATCTTTTCATCATCGCTTTCGACGGAGATGGACGTGCGTGTAGCTCAAAAGCGCTGCTGAGTTCTTGGGTTTGGACATGTCGATCAAAAACAAGGTCCCTTTAGACATACACTAGCTATGCCACTGTAACGTGAAGTTTGTTGAAGTATTGAAATTTAGATCCCTGATGCAATTCGAATGGTCTTTTCACATTGCAGAGTGATTGCAGCACTTTGATCCAGTCGATGGACTCGCAAGGTGGAGATCACATTTTAAAAAAATGTCTCGTGACACTTTGGAACGTTTCAGCGCAAAAATAAATTACAAATAAGTAGTGACTGCATTGGGCGTCGACATGTTCTTGAGCCCAACCAGTGCTTATGAAGGCCTTGGCCTTCCAATTCATGTCTGCCCAAGAATCAGCAATGTGGCCTATTCCTCATGCTGCGGCGTCCTTGGAGACCAGGTCGGGGTATTGCTCCCTTTGTTTTGACATGTTGATGCCGTGTTGGTGCCGAGGTCACCTCATTTCGGATTTCCGACGACGCAAAATACTAATTTAAAAGGTCCTAGTAGCAAACATTGTTTCTACTAGTAAGGCACTTGTTACTAGTAGCGATGCACTTGTTTCTAGTAGCTTATTGTTTCTACAAGTTGTTATTTCCCCAAACAGTTTACTGTGTGGGTTCTATCTTAGAAAAAAAGAGCTGGACACACTGACTGGCCGCGCCCCTGAACTCTGTGGCCGGGCTCTGTGACCGGGTCTTTGTCCTCCTCTTGTCTTCTCCTGTGGCCGAACAATTAACCATGCCGATGCCGACAAAATTCATTGACTAAGCAATTGGCTCTTGGGGGAAGGTAGGGCGTACCAAGAAACTGTTTTTGACTGATATTGGTCCCAACGAATCCTTTTGAAACTGTTTGGGGTCTATGCTGGTATAATAACGAAAAACAAGTGCTTATGTCGGGCTGCAGGGCGCAACTGTGCAAGAATGCAAGTGAACCAGGCCGATGGCAGTGGTGCAGACTGGCCTCGACAGCAGACCCGTGGCTAGCGCGAGAATTCTTGTAATGGCAGTAGGATGCAAAGATCCTGGAGAAGCACTATGCGGCAGTGGTGAATATATTGAGCAAGGATGTTTTTGACAATTGTAGGTTGTTTTTGCTTCAAACCTCTACAACCTCTTATTTCTTGGATAAAAACCGTTCCCAAGATGTCTATGTTGGTCTTCGCCATTCGTTTTTGCACTTACACCATGCTACGAAACTTAATCTTACACTGAATACTGCTTTTTCACCTCGAGTCTGGAATGCAAGAGCACATCGCCACTTGTACTTCTCATATTTGGGTTTTAAAGAAGCCCTTGAGTCTGGAGTCTGGAGTGTCTTACGGCACAGTTGTTTCAATGCGATTTTTTGCAAAGCTGATTTGCAAACATGTATTGGTGTGTTTTTTGACAAAAAGGCATTTTTACTAGCTTTGCTGCCTTGCTATTCCGAGGACCTTTGTGTGGAACTCCATGGTTTGGCTGCTCGAGGAGCCCTCGCTGCAGCAGAAAGGCGGCTTTCTGTAGAAGGGCTCCCAGGACAGAGCACTCCTGGTGCCATGAACAAAACAACGCGCGCATGGGCGATTTGATGGAGGTGATTGAAAAACCAATAAACGAAACGTAACGAAACGTCACGTTCCACGAAGAGATCTCAGATGAAGCATGACCCATCATGGCCGTGAAAAAACATGTACTCAACTTCAAGACTGAGTTTGGTCTGCGTATTTGCGTACACATGTGTGCACAAGGTGCTCTTGTAGCAGCAAGCTGCTTACCGCCAAAGTACCGCGGAACAATCTTTCGATGTTTGCTCCTGGCCGCAATCAATGCTGATGATGCAGATGCGGCCTCCAGGTGGGGGAACCCATGAAGCAGATGATCCAACAATCACTAAGAAACAGTGCAGCAGGTGTGCGATGGTCTCATTGGTTTGCCGTGTTGTAGCAGGTGGCTTACTGGCTTTGCCCGTTTCCTTCCAGATGCGTCCAGCAGAATGACAACGCTAGAAGAGAGAGGCACAGTAACACACCTGTCAAGCTGGTTGTTCACACATCACGATGGACTTTGTACTAGGTTGTTCGGCTCAGAGTGCTCAGGACACACATGAGTTTTGGACACAAGACATGCATTAAAATAGAAAATGTGAACTTGGGCCCTTGGGTCCCTTTAATAAGTCTCACCCAAGGCGCCCAAGTCTACCTATGTTTGGTCCCTCTTCTCTCTAAATTTCTATATAGTAGACATGTCTAAAATTGTTTGCATGTTGTTTTCTTTTGTAAGTTTCGACTTTCGTTGTTGGTTTTTCTCTCCGTTTGTGTCCCAGGTCTCGAGGAGAGAGGCCCTTCTGGACTTGAGGTCCTTGGACGACTCCTGGGCGTGGTCTCCGAAGGTGGCCCACAAGCAGCAGAAAGGTCTCCTTGTCCGAAGTTGATTTTCCCAATAGCAAAAAGAACCTAATAGCTACTAAGAGCGATGGCCTCCAACCTACTAGCTATGGCCTCCAGCCTAAGAGCGATGGCCTCCAACCTACTAGCTATGGCCTCCAGCCTAAGAGCGATGGCCTCCAACCTACTAGCGATGGCGTCCAGCCTAAGAGCGATGGCCTCCAACCTACTAGCGATGGCCTCCAGCCTAAGAGCGATGGCCTCCAACCTACTAGCGATGGCCTCCAGCCTAAGAGCAAAGGCTTCCAGCCTAAGAGTGATGGCCTCCAGCCTAATAGCAAAGGTCTCGTTGTTCCAATTTGCTGTTTAGTCACTGAAGTCAGCTTCCTGGTTTTTCCCAATTTTTTTAAATAGTCTTTGGGAGCAATCCTATTCAGGTTAACTGAGCTGTAGGACATGTAGGAAAAGTGTTTGAAGTGTTCAATATAGAAGACTGTGGCCAATTCTGGTCAGTTTCCTTGCAGTGCATATTCCAGACACCAAGAAACTAGCAAAGCAACATGTTTTCAAACTTCAAACGTTTTTACCACTATCGAGCCCGCTCAGTCATTGATCTCAGGTGGTTTCTAGCCCTGGAGGGTTCCGGTCCTTTAGCCGAGCTTCTGCGCCATCGTGTGATGGTGAGATCAGGAGACTTTTCTTCTATGGAGAGGAGCGGGACATACGAATACCGATCTACAAGGATCTACATACAGTGATCTGATTGACTTTGGGTGTCATGTTTGTGGAGCGCAACATGGCTTGCAGAGTATTGGTATGCTTGCGAACAACAAGATTACTTGCAGCGCCTGTAACATGCAGCAGTCGCTTGCTTGTTGATAGCTAGCCCTCAAAGGAGCTTGGCCTGTCTGCCAGCCCTTCAAGCACCATGTGAAGATCGTGCGACGGCAGTGGAACAAGCACTGGAGCGCATTGCAAAGGGTTCAGATCCTGGACGAGTTCATTTGTGGCTTTGGCGCTTTGATTCCATGGCAGTTTGGCACGAAAAATCAAGAGTGATTCCACCCTACTAGCGATCTCCACCCTACTAGCGATGGCCTCCACGTGATTCCCATAGGCGCCATGCACACCTTTGCACACCAGCATTAAAAAAGAAGCTATTAGGAAAAAGTGCATCGCTTCTAGTAACAAGTGCCTTACTACTAGTAACAAGAAGCTAGTAGAAACAATAACTAGTAACTAATAATTAGTTTTACCGGTTTCACTTTTACACGATGTTGAGGCATCCTTCATTGACTATATCCCTGGAGTGGCAGAGTGCTCGTCCGCACTACTGGAGACTTGGTGTGCAATCTACCTCAGGTCTGCATTGCTTTTGATTGCTTTTTTTGTTTCACCATTTGGAGGTGAAAACAGCAGTTCAGGAAAACTGTCCTAAGAAGTCCTAAGTCGACCCATTCCACTGTGCTTTGTGGTTGTTGAGTCTGATGGTTGGTCGAGACTCTCTGTCGCATGTAGCAGCTACGGGCTATTGTATCATATATGAAGGCTTCAGGATTCTTTCGGAGGTGTGACACATGTGTACCAAGGTTCCATGAATTCCAGGTCCCCTTGATTGCCTTGATTGCATCTTGACTTCAGGCCGCTGCTCGGATGGGTGATGTGCCTCGAGCAGAATATTTCTTGCAGCGTTGCACAGGTGCGCGGAGCTTGCGCTCCTGGCTGGCCAGTGCGACGAAGGAGGGGTCAAAGTTCGAGATCATGATTTTGGAAGGCCAAAACCTAAAGCATCGAAGAAAACACAGAAAAAGCAATTGCTATTATATTATTATTGAAGCTTAACTAAGCTTAACAAATAGCGATGGCCTCCAACCTACTTGCGAGGGCCTCCAACACGAAAGGTCGAAGAAAGAAGAAAAAGGAAAAACAAGGAAAGACACAACAATTGGTGTTGCTTCTAGCAGCAAGAGTTGAGACCTGCGATAGTTGGGTTGGTTGAACATGTCGAAACGTCATGTCCCACAGATTCAGCAGTGCCTGATGCAAAAGTGCTCGCAGAAAGCTGGTTGCAAGGTGAATGAAGGACCAGTGAAATGCCTACGTGGACTACCCAAAAGACAGCTCTTCGCTCTGGAACTCAATTTGTGTTCAGAGCCCTAATGGGGAAACATTCGATTATGAGACGATTGCACATTTCACATTATTTAATCTGCCAGGCAGTGCAACATGGGAATCTGGGTCGGTAATTGATATAGGTTTGTTATTTCCCGTGCACATTGACTTCCGTCAAAATCATGTATATACAGATTGACGGTCCAAGTTGAAACCGTTCAAACTGCGGTCAAACATTTAAAATAAAAAAACATGTGTGAGTCTGATTGTTACGCTCATTGTGTGAGTCCGGAGGTGCTATCACAGACTTATATAATTAGGCTTTGGACTCTGGCGAAAACGCTGCCTCGGGCTCCCCTTTTTTTTCACCCTTCAACAATGTTTTTTTCACCCTCCCTTTTTTTCCCACCCTCGAAACCTTCTTTTTTCACCCTCAAAAATCATTTTTTCCCCACCCTGTGGAACCTTTTTTTTTCACCCTTCGAAAACCTGTTTTTTTCACCCTGCACCCTGCC